TGAGCAACGGCAATCATGCCTTGTCCGGCACAAACAAAGTGATGGTTCCTAGTAGAAGCATCTGACGAAAACGCAACCTACGTTATGTTCTAAGTACGTACACGGTCACGCCCTCCCACCTCTGGGATATGGATTATAGATGATGTGATATGCTCTCAGGTAGCTTCTCTTCGAAAGCCACTTCCAGTCGACATTACCAGAAACAAATCTGCGGATCCTGTGCCCGGTTTGTTTATTTGATCTTTGAAATTGTATTGTAAGGTGTATTTTTCGAAAACTTGAGCAGTTCCAACTGAATTTGTAATTGTCGCTTGTCCAAAGAAAGGTGGTTATATGGGCGGATGCAAAACATATCTTCATTGGCTCCATTCCACATCAGCGCCTTTTGAGGCTTTCTCAGGCATCGAAGAAGAGAATGGAGCGCCAATAACCGTGTTACCTGTTCCCGCCCATGTGATAAGCGCAGAACATGCCTTGAAAACCCTTGAAATGTTTAGAGTTCGTCAACAGAAAACCGCAAGTTGTGAACCATTCGAGTAGCACAGAGTCGGCGAGTGATGATGATGACGTGGTTAGTGGTTTCTCACCATTATTTTCTTTCTATTGATTGTTATTTCCCCTTAATTTGCAGGTGACCGCACAAGTGAGTGGTAAAAGAAGGTCAGCGAGTCTACAAGAGGTATGTCGCAGCAATAGTACGATGTAATATTCACGATAAAATAGTAGTAGTACTTCAGGGAGCTCCGATTTCCGAGAAGGACCTGATTAACACACTTGGAAATTTACATGGGAAATTGGCCACAGCACAGTTGAGGGCTCGGACAAAGAAAATGCAGGCTGATATGACTGCTGAAGAGCGGAACGACGTGAGTCCTTCGACAGTTATGCCTCGATACTTACATCCTTGTCGAATGAACCAAGTTCTTCTCACGGTTGCGGAAACTTCGTTATCTGGAGTCTGGAGGCACTTTCTTCCCGTAGTCTACAGATTTTCCGTCGAATACTGGGTGCTCGTTGACCAGGAAGCTGTGCTTTCACCTTCTACAAGCGTCTGCTTCGAAGATTTCCATAAACCCTGCCCCGAGGGGACCTTTAGGCTGCGTTCACACTTTGCGGCAGCGTCCACCAGCGACCAATAGCGTCCACCAGCGTTCCGAGCGTCCGGCAGCGTCAGCGACTAGGAAAGTATAGATATCGATCCAGCATCTGTGAGCGTCTGCCAGCGTTTACCAGCGTGCGCAGTGTCTCGGGGGCTAGGGAAGTATAGGGATCGACCTGTGCTTTTACCAGCGTCCCTGTCACAACGTCTTACGCAGCGTCTGACCGTATAGGCAAGCAGCGTCCGGGAGTGGAGAGTATGGCGCGGTGGGAGAGTAGACAGCTGGTAGAGTATGGAGAGATACGGAGGGTAGCAGACTGCACGCTGAAGACGCAGACGGACGCTGGCAGACGCTAGATCGATATCTACATTTCCCAGTCGATGACGCTGGTGAACGCCGCCGTAAAGTATGAACCAGCTTTAAGACCATTGGTTTGCCCAAATGTTGCTGTAAGTGGAATGGAAAGTCAAGCTCAAGAGCAGCTATGCGCGTTTTTCAAAGGCTTTCAAGAGGAAAAAACCTCCCACTTATTCATCGCGAAAATGATGGCTTATTGGCTAGAGGTTTGACTCTGACCAGAAGTCCAATCCTCACGCTAACCGGGCGAGTGTGCCATCCATCACATCCATCGGGGTCGCCTTCCATCCTCCCAGAGCTTTTATGACACAGCTCTTCACCACTCACCCACTTTAGGGTTTTTTTTTGTTCGCTACTGTCTGTCTACCAAATCCATAGGAAATCATAAGATCCATAGGAAATCAGAAAATAATCCATATCTCAAAGCTAGGAAGGTCGCATACATCGCGTAGCTCTGACCAGTAGTATAGCCAATGGTAATCACAGTAAGAGAGCCTAGACAACAGCAGATTTTCTCAAAAAGTACGGGTACAGTCTTGTTCGCTGTAGACGCTGGGTCGTATCAAGATGGAAGACGGGCTGGCGCCGCCTCAAACCAAGTCCCACTGATACGCCTCAGCTTCGCAATGAACAAGACTGATTTTATACCATTCTCACTTCAGATTCACCACATTTTCTGACCAAGTTCACGACTTTTCGAAACAGATTCAAGAGTTGATTACCCATGCCTTACTAGACACTACGCAAGCCCCGCCCCTATAGCCACGCCCACATTCCAGCGTGGTCGCGATGTTTCGAATTTTATTTAGAGCTTCTGCCTCTATGACTTCTGTCTTTTGCTGTTTCGCACCTACACTTTGACTGAAAGGAATTGGACAACGACAATTTTCAAAAGAGATTTCAGATTCTCTATTCACTGGAAAGAGCCTAATTGTTGAGAACGGCATTTTTTATTCCAGGAAGCTCGTACGAAAGCCAGACAGCTTGAATCGATTATGAGCCTCATGATGCAGAATCAGGAAAAGTTTGGCATCACGAGTGAAGATGACATTAAGGAGCAGTTGGACATGTACAATTTCTAGCGTCTAGTGTGTACATAGTGTTCTTGTCGATAAGTGTAAGTATAACTGACAATTATAATATTGAGGGGAGATTCCGTAAATAGAGAGGGCTCCTCATATAACGAGTAGGATTGACGAGGATAAAAGGACCAAATGTGATGTGAGGTACAATCTCTTGTGAATACACCATGCATCCGGATTCACTAGAGTATCGTAGGTGTATTTGAATGTGTGTCGTTTGTGCAACAAATGGATAGGCGGAGAAATGGGAGGAAAGGCAAGGCACAACCTTCATGAGTCTCCGCCTATTTCTCTTAGCTCAATTGATTATTGTAGAATGCGTCATTAATGTCATGACTTCCCGCATCGTTCGATCTTCTAGCTATTAGCTACAATCATGTTCGCTGCGAACGCTGGGGCGTGTCAGAGAATGGGTTTAGCGTGGCGCCGCCGTTCCTTACCAGTTGTGGAGGCTAGCAGGCGACCAATTGGCGGGCGCAGCGGTAAATCCAGCTTTCCTCACCTCCTGAAACGCCCCATTGCCCGCTTAAAACAAGAATGTTTTCTCCCAGAGGTGCCTAGCACCAATTCAAAGATTTAGTGCGGGAAGACACTTTGGGGGCAGAAAGGGGCGCAGCCTGAACACCAGATGATGCCTTGAGGGTACAGCATGTGACGATGGTGCTCCCTACTGCAGAGGACGA